CCTCTGAAATAAATAGGGAGAAGAACAAAGGAAACTATAAAACGCAAGTTTTACAGTCGTATGATTACTATTGATATGATTATGTTGAAAAAACTGTCATCCAGTAAACAGCAATACTGTTTCACTGTGTGATATATCTAATAAACAAACTGATATAGAATTACTTTATATCACAGTGGCGAGTACCAACTAGCATGAAACTAGGTCCAATGCTTCAGAGTGCAGTGTGATGGTAAGCTACCTAGTGGCATGTTGGCCACATTACAAATATGACCGACAGAATTCAGTCTGCACCAAACAAACGATTAGATACATAACACTTGTTACTAGCTTCATATCCAATCAAAACTGACATATATGTAGAATATTCCAGAAATAATAGCTACAATTTGAAAATCATTCGGAACAGATATAATGCAATCAGTTCAATTAACAGTCAATCTGAACGAAGAATATTCTTTTCAATAATTTCTCTTCAGGTTCTTGCAATAATAAAACAATTATAATGTTTATTATCGTTACAATAAAGGCCAGTTATGCGGCGGATACATTTTTAACGTAGAATAACAGATTAGTTATGGAGTGTCAAAATTAATAGTCGTATTTCTGTGACGAACGTGCTAGGCTGAAATCGATTAGAAAAAATTGTAAAACGTGAGACAATGGTGGTGATTAATCATAATAGAATTGTATAGTGTGGGGTAGGAAAATTGACAAATCATTTCAAGGTTATAAAAGGTGTCAGGTGAGTGGCTAGTACAAAGTGGTCTGTGTTAAACAGGAGATAGTAAGACTGATATGAGAGGTTCATAATGAGATAACGAATATGTTGAATGAAACAGGTGGAGGCATATATTGAGAAAAGAGATAATATCACTAATAATAAGTCCGTATAAATGAAAATTCGATAGTATTGAGGGAATATTTGCATAAAGGGCATAAATTATGACGAATAATAATAATTGTAATAATAATATTTGTAATAATAAGCAAAGAAAAAAAGAAAAAAAACCAAGAGGGTTAAGGGGAAGGAGCACTCTTGGTGAGAAGAAAAATCTTCAATCCAAGGTTGGCCACGGTAGGAACAGCATCTGAACGTGTTCTTTTTGGATACAAAGTTCCGGTTTAGTCGATCTTATTGCAACAGCTTCAGCTATGTGTAGGAGACGTAAGCGAACTGTACGTGATAACGACTTCGGAATTCGGTATATAACCCTGAAAGCTGTGTTGACATCGATGCGATGTCTAGTATCGACCAAGTGTGACAGGATCGAGTTTTTTATGCACTTAATTTCCCCCCTGCTTAACCAAGCTGGTAAGTGTTCTCGAACCCGTAGACGAACCTGCCTAATCGTGCGCCCTATATAACTTGAACCACAGGAACAGTTGAAATGGTATATGCATGAAGAAGAGCTAAGGTTAGGTAAGACATCTTTGAGTTGATGGGTGAACATTGGACGGCTACTGAAGGATAGACACAGACGTGCAGAGTAGAAAGTTTTCTTGATCGCCCTGGTTAAACGTTGGGATAGAAACTCCGCAGGAGTATCTTCCTTGAATTGGAGACGTAAAAACAAAGGCTTTTTCTCCACAGTTGCCAGTTCATGTTTACGACTATTGTAACTTATGTTGGCTTTAATAAACTTCTCTGGATATCCGTTCTCGCTTAGAATGTCTCGGAGTCTTCGGAACAAATAGACCTCGCTCTAAATGCTAACCACCTGATTAGATTACGTTTGTATTTCATCGGTACGAAGCTAAGGAAGTGTGCATACTGAGCTTTGGTCTCTAGCTTTCTAAATATGGTTCTTTTGATGGAACCATCCTCTCTTCTCGTTAGTAGGACGTCGAGGAAGTGTAGGGAGTCATTGTATTCTCCTTCGTAGGTGAAATGGACCGCTGGGTGAGCATTATTGAAGTTGTTCAAAATCAAATCACTATTTAACCCTTCATCGTACACTACAAAAGTGTCATCCATGTAACGACAATACATTTCCATTTTCGCTATTTCCTCTTTCAACGGACTATTTTCTAGTTTTGCTAGAAATATATTCGCGAAAATAGGTCCCAGTGGGGATCCCATGGCTACTCCATCAACCTGTCTGTATATTTCATTATTAAATAGGAACTGAACATTCGTTGTACATTTAACAAGTAGTTGTTTCAGATTACTGATAGGAATATCAATGCACAATTTCTTTTCTATAATCTGTTCGCAGATATAATCGATGGTTTCCACTAGAGGCACATTAGTGAATAGAGATAAAATATCAAGTGATGCCATATATTTGCCAGTCGCATTCAAGTTTTTGATCTTATCAACAAATTGAAAGGTATGCTTGACGCTGTGCTTTACTAACTCGTCATGCAAGGGTTGAAGTAGCTGTACCAGCCACTTTACCGTCTCGTGACAGGGTGAAAGGGACATGTCTAGTATGGGGCGTAGGGGCACTCCTGATTTGTGCACTTTCGGTAGACCATACATACGTGAGATGGTGCTCCCTGTGGGTTTTATAATTTCGAACATACAATGCAAACCAAAAGATTCCACCACCTAAAAACAAGATCAACACCATCTACATGAATTGTGGTCAGCAGTATACTGGTCAAAGCTAGAGTCAACTTCAGCTCGGAATCCAAGAATATAAACTACCTGTCAGATGACACAAAATGTATTGATTCTTTCACACATCAATGCATGACGGTGAGTATGAACACATTAGTAGGACTGAGAAAATGTAGGAATTTATAAGCCGGGTAATTTTGACAAGCTTGTTACTCAAATAAATCAGCGATTAACAGTTACATTACTACAGATAAAATTTATCAACTAATAAAGAATAATCCACATGACAAGTAAGTCAATAAATCGACCTATAATAAGGCAAATTAATAAGTAATCAAGAGAAGGATTGTCGGGAGATAAACACTGCCATTCATGGAGACTTCAAATTAGGTTCACTTTATACTGAAATCTGAGCTGATTTCAGCAGTTAAACCGCCTTCACCACTTCAGAAGACGTAACCATATCAGCGTCAACCACCTTAGTTACAAATCCGCCCTATTACTATCCGAATCGTTATATAACAAGTATATATGTCGACCAATACACACGCTATAATGAAACTGTTGAGTACCACAGCGTATCAGGGCTTGCTTGAGCTTGAATGAGAAACGACGAGATGGCAATGGGTCCAAGGATCTGTCTGTCTCCTTTCGACATAGAACTTTGCCCTGATGTGTGACAGTTCAAGTCGCCACACTCACTCCTTGTAGCACACAAAACAAGAGAAGAAAGTAGAAGAAATGCATAATAGGCACAGTAAGCAGAGGTGTGAGACAAAGGAATGGTCATAGCGAAGAACCATATAGTTTCATTGGAAATCATGAGTCACAAGGAGTGGATGCATCTGCGCCAGCCAGGCATTGAGAACGATCACTTTGAGCCATGTCACCAATTGTTTCCAACCATTGGATTTTACCGTCCCGAGGACCCCAACCAGGAAGTCAACACCTTCCTACATGGCTTCGACTAACTTGTAGATTTCATTGACTGGTAAGGCCATGTCTTTGTTTGACCGTCTCTAGCTCTTTTCCAGCCTGACCCTATGTCAGCTAACATTGACCGTCGCGGAAGGCGATGGCTAGTGGTGCATGCGTAACACATGTCCTAACCATCTCAGTCGATGTAATTTCACGTCCTCGCCGATTGATTTCCCCTCTTCACTTAACTAGAACTCGACCGATGCCTAACCTCAATATTGCTCACCTAAGTATGCCACTTCGCACAGGAGATAGAACGCAGGCACCTATGATCAAAGATAGCTAGCTAACCTTTTCATGTCTTCCACTCTCAATGGTCAGGTCTCACAGCCAGCCATAAAGGAGGACGGAGCGGACTGATGAGCAGTACACTCGCCCTTTGGTCGACAGTCGGATATCACGTCTACTAAGCCCGAGACGGCGTAAACTGGCATATGCGAAACTAGCCCTCTGTATCCGTGCTGAGATCTCGTTAGAGATCAACCCGTTGGCGTTGGCTGATGGTACTTCCCAAATCAGTGAAGCGGTCAACGTGCTCTACCACTTCACTTCCTATTTCTAACCTAGGAGTCAGTGTAGTCTAGTCATGTAACATCATCTTTGATATGGCAGGAGCGAATCGCATGCCAAACATTCGTAGATTGCAGCTCAAGGTGTTCAGCTCGCTTTTGTCAGCATACTCGCCTAGAAGGAGTATATCGTCTGCATATTCTAAGTCAACGAGATTATATGCTGGTAGCAAGTCAGTCAACCGCTGAGTCTCTGAAGTGAGTTAGGGTTAAGTCCATTAGTACATCTATGATGAAGTTGAATAGAAATGGGGGTAATGGGCATCCCTGACGGACACCACTAGCTGTCACCATTTCAGATGAGAACTCGCCGTAAGCATTCACCTGGCTGACTGCATGAGTTCGAGTATAGTGAGTGCCTTGATCAATGCAATGCATTTTTGTCGGCATTCCCTTTACAGCAAAGCATCTGCAGAGAACCTCTCGATCGACAGAATGGGTCCAAGGATGACATGGAAGATATCTTGTGAGGAGGGAACGAAAGCTTACGGGCAGTCATGAAGCTAACTGAGGAGGACTGCAAAGAACAAGACAAAAGGAAGATGTGCTGTTGAGACTCTACATTACACACAAAATCCCAGGGAATAACAATAATTCAGTGAGTCGGTGACACAGCGGTTAGGACGCGCGCCGACCATGCACATGGTCTGGGTTTCGATCCCCGGCCACAGACGCACTCCTTTCCTTTACCACCTCGCTAAGCCAGTAATAAAAGCTGGTAAAGAGGAAAGGTTGGACATGAGGCTGGCTAGCAACCGCCTCCTGTAAAAATAAACACTGCTACAGAAACTACAAGCTGGCTCTAGCTTGAAGTGGCCCTATGTTTCACTGGGAACGTGAAGTGCATATTAAAATAAAATGAAAAAAAGAGAAATTACTGAAACTACCTGACAATCTAAAATTTGTTGGTAAGGTTTTTTCCCCAGTGTATCAGATAGCGCATAAAATGATGATAATAAACTTCGTTTAATATGTACTCTTGGTGATCCATAACCATCACCTTTTGTTTGCCACCAGAATTCACGACTTTTTTCTAAATTCTTAAAAATATGCGAATTATTCGTTATTTCACTACTGGTAAATGGACTATTTGGACATAAAGTTATGTCAGGATAATCGAAATCAATATTTCCATGTTTAATTTCTGTTAACACAGGACAACTAATATACTGACGGTATAAATGAAGAGCATGCGAGAAGAAAACAGCTGTCATAAGACTGATTACAATGGAATAGTACACTCTCAAGCCTCCTTTAGTTGTTGTAATATGAATAGGTCCGTGTAGAGTGGTAGTTTCTGCAAAATCTAACCATACTGGCCAACGACATCGACGAATTCTTTCCCGACATTTATAAACTTCAATTTCTGCTTCTTTTTCCTTTTCCACTTCACTAAAAGTTGTCTCAAATACTTCAGATTCGTCATTATTTTTATGATGTTCAGTAGACTTAGTACTAGAATACTTAGGTTTCATATATGCATATATATATATCGATTTTTTCAACGATCAATCGAATAAAAAAATTTAAATGACAGGTGTGATTGATCAGGCGGATAGAGTTAAACTGTAAATAAATAAATAAAGAATTAAACCAGGAAGAGGGTGTATTGATTATATCTCCCTTCACCCTTCGAGAGATTCTAGAGCATAGACATTCCTACCGGCGTCCAACAATCATTATATTTCTTGACCTAAAGGCAGAATTCAATTCCGTCGATCGAGAGGTATTATGGCGATGTTTGGCTGTAAAGGGAATGCCGACAAAAATGCATTGCATTGATCAAGGCATTCACTATACTCGAACTCATGCAGTCAGCCAGGTGAATGCTTACGGCGAGTTGTCATCTGAAATGGTGACCGCTAGTGGTGTCCAACAGGGACGCCCATTACCCCCATTTCTATTCAACTTCATCATAGATGTACTAATGGACTTAACCCTAACTCGCTTCAGAGACTCAGCGGTTGACTGACTTGCTACCAGCATATAATCTCGTTGACTTAGAATATGCAGACGATATACTCCTTCTAGGCGAGTATGCTGACAAAAGCGAGCTGAACACCTTGAGCTGCAATCTACGAATGTTTGGCATGCGATTCGCTCCTGCCATATCAAAGATGATGTTACAGGACTAGACTACACTGACTCCTAGGTTAGAAATAGGAAGTGAAGTGGCAGAGCACGTTAACCACTTCACTTACTTGGGAAGTACTATCAGACAGTGCAAACAGCTTGATCTCTGACGAAATCTCAGTACAAATACACAGGGCTAGTTTCGCATATGCCAGTTTACGCCGTCTCGGGCTTAGTAGACGTGATATCCGACTGTCGACCAAAGGGCGAGTGTACTGCTCATCAGTCCGCTCCGTCCTCCTTTATGGCTGGCTGTGAGACCTGACCATTGAGAGTGGAAGACATGAAAAGGTTAGCTAGCTATCTTTGATCATAGGTGCCTGCGTTCTATCTCCCGTGTGAAGTGGTATAATAAGGTGAGCAATATTGAGGTTAGGTGTCGGTCAAGTTCTAGTTAAGTGAAGAGGGGAAATCAATCGACGAGGACGTGAAATTACATCGACTGAGGTGGATAGGACATGTGTTACGCATGCACCACTAGCCATCGCCTTCCGCGACGGTCAATGTTAGCTGACATAGGGTCAGGCGAGAAAAGACCTGGCGGTGGTCAAACCAAAACATGTCAACAGTCAATGAAATCCACAAGTTAGTTTAAGCCATGTAGGAAGATGTAAACTTTCTGGTTGGGGTCCTCGAGACGGTAAAATCCAATGGTTGGAAACAATTGGTGACATGGCTCAAAGTGATCGTTCTCAATGCCTGGCTGGCGCAGATGCATCCACTCCTTGTGACTCATGATTTCCAATGAAACTATATGGTTCTTCGCTATGACCATTCCTTTGTCTCACACCTCTGCTTACTGTGCCTATTATGCATTTCTTCTACTTTCTTCTCTTGTTTTGTGTGCTACAAGGAGTGAGTGTGGCGACTTGAACAGTCACACATCAGGGCAAAGTTCAATGTCGAAAACAGACAGGCAGTAAATAATTATCCACATAATTATTAAGACTTTATACGTCGATAACAAACTACATAACCAATGGAGATAAAGGTTGTTTGCATGGAATCATGATACGGCCGTACAGATTCAATATACATTGCTGAGACAACCGAACAAATAACGCCTATAAAATAAAGAATCGCAGTCTTATCCTGAACACGCCTTGGATGAACTCGAAGGATTTTACAATCAGAATAGTCAGTAATCTATTGTACAGCCGTGAAAAGACACGACATATATATTTTTTCATATCAATGAGCATATAGACAATTGTGAACATCAGTTTGATTGGAAGTAATATCGAAACCTTAGACAGATGAAACACCAAAAATACTTTCAGGGAATTCCAATAAGCCAAGTACTCAGACGAATATGCAATTAACAAACACGTTAATGTAGACCAAATATACATATAGACGCGCGTCTGAGGCCCTGTTTCTCTAGGAATTAAAGGATATAATAATAATGAGAAGTAAATAAGGTAACCAGAAAGTTTAAAATACCAATCAATAGAAAACGGTCAATACACATGTAAAGATGGTTACCGGGAGACGCAATTATATCACTCATGAAAAATTTATATAATTTTACTTTGTGCTAAATGTTGCGCTGAAAGGGGATTTTGCCCAGAAGGACGAAAGCTCCGCAACTACACCAACCAGGTCAAGGAGCAGTATTCATTGCAAATCTATTGTATCTTATACTACGGGCATCAACATTCGATTACGGGTTCCAGTACCGTTCTGCCTATTTCAGTTTAGGTGGTATCAATCCTCACACAGTGTGGCTTTAAGTTCAAGGCATAAAAACATCTGTTGTGGTTAATTCTGTTCAGCCAATACAATAGGCACATAGTGATAGCTATACATGACACATAATAAACTTGTTCGGTTTTCCGCGATAAACATCTGCTAAACACGACGAAAAATAAGCCTTACAGTGCAAATAAAATATATTTTTTTCGGGAAAAAATATGTACAATATATTACTCATACATTACTCGTCCACTTTAATTTTCTTCGGTTGTGGTTGACCGTCTTCTGATTTTATATGACGTTTTATACCAGATAATTTTGGATTGAACTACAGGAGTGATAAATAAAAAAATGAATAAAACACAAATTACCGTTCCAGCTTCGAGCTGTCGAAGTCGCTTCTCCAAATAGGCTCTAGCTCGAAGACCCATTTCTGTGTCAGCCCCTTCTTCACCAAGTGCATCCAAACGAGCAGACAATGATGCTTTCGCTGCCAGCATTCGGGACATTTTGCCTTTGAAAGCAAGATCCGATTGCGACACCAGACTTGCATGGTATAACAAACCATATTTCGGTGTGCTGTGTCGTGTTTTCAAAGCTCGAAACAATGCTTTTTCTGCTCCAAGTATTTGAACTGTTGACGCGGGGTGTTTTGCTAAATTGACAAGCGTCCCGGCACGAGCAATTAACCTCGCCCCAATCAATTCGCCAACAAGTGATGTAAGATTAGGAGCGACTGCAACCATCCTTTTGACGAGGTAATCATGTAGTTGAGCTCGAGAACTAGAAGCCTCTATAACTTGATCACACAATTCATTGATCATCGCGATATCTTCATCTATGACTTCTGTTCCGAGGGAGACAATAGAAGCTTCCCTTATCTGACTAGCTACATCATCGGTTACAAGATCAGATAGGTCTACACTGGCATTCACTCTATGACCTATAGGTGATTTGATAAAAGTTCAGTAACTTACCAATTCGTTTGACGACATTTACATAAGTAATATTATCCACAACAATTTTCGACAATTCGGGAAAATGCCAACCGTACATTTCTTTAGCACGCATAATGTAGTTATTGATCTCTTTGTCTAACTCATCCATCAGACCTAAAGAGATAAACAATTTCCAGCTAGATTACCGACTGCTTGAACTATCATTGTATCAATCTTGTCCGGGTTGCATTTCAACTTGTATCTGTCAAGACTGTGAGCCAATCCTAATCGCATTCTTGACATATGCCCCTCATCAACTACCGGTAGAAGAGTATCCAAATGGCAACGAATACCCCTCATAAGATTTTGCACGAGGGAGTCACTAACTGTCGGAATACTCATCTTTGTCTAAAACAACATTAGACATGATAATACAACTTACATTAATGTCAATAGACAACTTTTTATCAGCCACAGCAAGAACATCATCCCTCAGCTCTTTGACGTACAACTTTTTAAGGAGCTTTTTTAATCTTTTGGAGAGTTTTCCCTCGACTATGTCCGACGCAGCTGAAAGGTAAATAATAACGATTAGGTAGCATTGGTTATATAAATGATTAAAATTCCGCAAAGTCAGTGTGCAGATTAACAGTCACGCTTGTATATGAGACTCTAGTCCACAATTCTCATCATGCTTACACTTTCATTACGCTTTCACTTACCTACTAATGCATCTTTGGTATCCTTGAATTGTACAAAACGCTCAAGCTGAATTCTTCCTGTGGCATAAGAAAAGCTAAAAACCTACAGCTGATTCATTGTTGCTGTATCTTCAAAGGCTTTTGCGAGATCATCAATCTCACTAACACCTTTTTCATCATGGACTTTAAACACTGCATAGCCTGCAGCAGTCTCGAATAGAACCAGCATGGTCACGCTACTCTTTCGAATCAACCACCTTTAGTAGACAAACAGTAAAACAAGTACTTCAGACTATACGTTTGTCTACACATCACAAAAAAGATAAGAGGTACTTTTATTGCTATTCACTAATGATAGAGATACTGAGGCAAGACCTCATCCTACTGTGTCCTCGATATGGGAGTTTGACTCTAGACTTTTTGTACTGACACACACTTATTAAAAATCATATCCAACCTTCGACGTAGAATATCTGGGTGCGAAGCGTTCCAAGCTTTTTTACGTTGGTTCTTTGTAGAAATTTTTGTGAGGAACGCCACAATGCTAGTGGGCATTTGTCGACCCAGCTGAGAATGATTTAGTGTGTGCTGCAAACATTGAACAGCTTTGAGAATTGTCACAAATAAATGGGTCGGCGTTAAGAATATTAATATTCCCAGCAGTAGCAGATATATTCATCGAAACTTAGGAACTTAAAGCCCCAATTCTGGCTTATGATGCGAATATGTGGAGGATACACTCAATGTCTTAAAATCTAAACATACCTCAATGTTATTCAAACACGAAACCTCAGTAGCAGAGACAATCCTGTTCATTTTCCAGCCTTTAGATTTACAGGATGAGTTAACTGTGTTACGCTGCAAGCTTTGACGAAGAGTGGGTGGAAATTTAGGTAGAATCTGACAGTTACTTAGACTTCGATTCATTCCACCCAAAATCTGTAAAGATAGGTCCAGTCGATAACCATCTACTATAATTCACTCAAAAATGTATTAAGAACCACAGAAAAAATAGTAACACAGACGACGGAGGCAACATAAACAATAAAGAGTTCCTAGAACGACCACACCTCTACTTAGACAAGGTACACTAGGGGTCCTGTGGAATCCCTAATGGAGTTAATAATAATATATTCTCAATTTCTACATGATGGTCGCCAGTTTACAGGCATCACCAATATGATAAATTACATATAAGATTAGCAATCATACTTAATAATAATGTTTTAATAAAATACATATTTTTTCCTACCTGTGTAGGACACACCAAATGTACAGGCATGGATAAGCATTATTTAAATTTCATAAATTTGGTTTATGGTTAAATTACATGGTTGCTGACGTTTTTGTCTTTGGTTTGTGGGAACAATATGATAACCAGTCATTCAATGGAGCACATCATGAAATATAGGAATATTGTCTTCGCATTAACAAAAAAACCCAAGTAAGTTTTGGATGGATTAAAAATACTTGGGAAAAAATAAAGCTTGAAGTAATTCCTCAATATAACTTGGGTGTGTACAAATCCGAATCTCATTTTTGATTTATATCCAAATTGGGTAATAAGGAAGCTATTTTTACAGATACGATCAGTTATGTTATAAGCTACAATCGTGACGTTGTATTACAAATTGATACTTTTCCATTGGTATAAGAGTATATTCCACAAATGTAATCCAGGTTGCGTCGTGGAGAAAGTTAATTCGTTATTAATCAAGGAACTGAAAGATACGGGACCAATAATGTTTGCAGATCATTTGTCATTGTAAATGGTCAAATATCCACATTATTCATTCTCATTCAAAAAGTCAAATGGAAGCTGAAATGGTGAGAGAAAAAAGAAGACAAACAACAGCAACGCAAAAGAAAGCAACGGGAGTCCTTAAGGAGTGATTAATAAATATATACATATATATTCTGTTTAGTAACTGTGGTTATTTTTGTACACAAACTAACTAGTCCCGTTATGCTAACTTTTATATTATGTGTGAACTAATATTACTGTCCTGTGTAGAAATGTTTATCATCTAGTTCCAATAATATTAAAATTTATAATTGTAGTTTGTTGTAACTACACGTTTAAAGAACTTAAAATATCTATGTAGGGTGAAAAAGAAGGTGTAAGAGTCAGGCGCAAAAGTGCATTGTCATCTTTGAGCAGTCTGGTGACTGAGGAGATGAACACTGGAAGTGTGTTTGCATCGCGCACATTAGCTGGTAGTCTATTCCAAATGACTGAAAACTTATTTAAGAAGAAGTTGTACCGCACGTAAGTCTGACAGTGCTCCATAGCAGCTAGGTTGTGATGATTTCTAAGATTGTAACTGATGACAGCGGTAGGTTTAGTTATTGGCTCGGAGGAATGCAAGAGAAGATTAGTTAGCTTATAGTAAAAGATAAGGTTTAGCTTAAGGCGTCTTTTCCAGAGGGGTTCTAATCTTAGTCTTTCGCATCGCTCATGGTATTCCAGACCACTTTCTAAACCAAGAGTTCTTGAGGTAAACTGCCGTTGCACTCCCTCTAATTTAAGCTTGTCATTTTGTCTGAGTCCGCTAAGAATAAACGGGCAGTATTCTAAGATAGGTCGGACACATACTTTGTATAATAAAACCCTAGTTTCACAACAAAAGAAATTGCGTGTTATGCATCCTATCAGCCTTCGCGTTTTACGTCTGGCATAATCAGTCTGTTCAGCGAACGTTAGGTTACTAGAGTATCTAATACCGAGATCTACGACTGAGTTGAGCTTAGCTAGTTTTCGCCCATTTATTTCAAGAGTTAGATCAAGGTTACTGTTGCCGATACAAATCCAGCCGCATTTGTCAATGTTAAAATTTAGACAGGATTCAGCACACCATGTTGCGAGACTACTTAGTTCAAGATGTATTTTAGTAACCATATCGCTTAATTCATGAGTGTAGCAGGAGTAGACGACTTTGAGGTCGTCAGCATATAGGAATGGTTTACCTGAGGTGAAGCACTTGCAAATGCTGTTAATGTAGACTGTGAATAAAAGTGGACCTAGGACACTACCTTGCACGACCCCACTTGAGATCTGCCTAGGATGAGACAATACAGATCCAACTTTGGTTATTTGTACCCTGTTGCTTAGAAATGATTTTAACCAGTTCAGTAATGGGTTGCGAATTCCACAAGAGTACAGCTTCTCAAAGAGAATACTGTGAGATACCATGTCAAATGCCCTAGATATATCGAAGTAGAGAACAACGACTAGCTTACGTGCTTCGCGACTACTAGTGATGCAGTTGAAAAAGTCGAAGTGGCAAGTAACGCAGGATCTATTTTTGAGAAATCCGTGTTGAGACCTTGTAACAAGATCTTCCCTAATTAGGTAGTCTGACAATTGATCTTTTACAACTTTCTCCATGATTCGTGAGATAACTGGGGTTATATTTATGGGTCTGTAATTGCGGACGTTTGCCCTATCACCAGATTTGTAATGTGGAATTATGAAGCTAGTTTTCCACTCACTAGGGTAAGTGCCAGTGTCCATAGATATTGAGAAGAATTTAAGAAGTAACAAGGGTATATCACACCCACTGTTTTTGAAAATTATCGAAGCGAGGCCATCCGGTCCCGTACTAGTGGAAGGTTTAAGGCTTTTAATTGCTTGTACTATTAACTGATTAGTGAACACAATGCTTTCAAGGGAAGAGATAGTAAGGGGGCGGTTTCACCAGGCATATGTGTTTCTAAACTAAAGTTTGCAAACCAATCACTGAAAGTTCACAGATAGTGGCAGGTTCATTGTAGATTACTTTGTCGTGAAGTAAGTATGGGATTTCCCTCGCCGACTGCATTCGTTTTTTAAGAAGTGCCGTTAAGTTATAAACTTTGGAGGTACTTTCAAGTGCCGTTAACTCTTCGTCGAGGTCCTTTTGAGAGCGTAGGCGCTTGATAGATTCAAGAGACTCGTGGATTGAGAGCAATAGTGATATGTCCTTAGTGGAATAGTACTGTTTCTTCAGCTTCCTTAACTTATTACGGTGTGCCCTTGGAATATATTCAGTTCGGTGTCTACTTAATTTCACTATTTTCTTTGGAGCAACTGTATCTAGACAAAGGGTAACATTCCTGTAAAACAGGGTTACTAAGGCCTCCAGGGAGTCAGTGGTAAAATAGTCATCCCATTGACAGAGTCGAATAAGTTCTTGGACTAATCCCCAGTCTGTATATTTGTAACTACGACATATTGTGCTTCCTGAGTCTTGTTTGTTTCCTGTATTTAGTGGTGAGAAAGGCAGAGAGCAGAGTACCATTCTATGGTCACTACTGGAAAATCGATTACCAACATACGTGGATACTGGGATTGTGTCATGACAAAAAACAAGGTCCAACATGTTGTCACCACGAGTAGGTGTCTGGACGTGTTGTTGCCATCCATAACAGTCTATAGTGGCAAGTAATTCGTCGAAGCGTTGGGGGCCGGAACTAGTTAGCCAATTGACTTCTGGAAGATTGAAGTCCCCTGCAATTATTTTGTAATTAGCACTAAACGAGGATGCGTGTGCAAACGATTTAGCTAATAACGCATCAGTTTCTTTTGTTGCGCTTGGTGCTCGATAAACACAGCCTATGAGAAGTTTGTACTTATCTCCATGTAAGACAACCCAGAGTGAGTCAGGTACATTATTCATTGTTTCATCTTCCACCTTACTGACTACAAATGAGCTATGTATATATATGAGACATCCTCCACCACGCTTGCAATCTCTGTTTGCACGGTGTACAGTGTAATCATCGATACCTATATGCACATCAAGTACAGAGGATGAGCACCATGACTCAGTAATCAGAGCTACAGTAGGCTTGGCGACTAATAATAATGTCCTTAGTTCAGATATCTTATTGATTAAGGAACGTGCATTAATTAGCAATATCGTGAATAAGTCACGGGATACTACAAACTGGCTTAAAATGTCACCATAACCTAAATCTATTTGTGCGTCAGCACCGCAAGAATTTATGAATGAAAGGGAGGTCGGACTGGGTGTCTGTACATCGGGTTGGTGTGCAATGAGGTGGTCCTAGGTGCCATGGGTCGTACCAGTGATTCGGGACACCTGGAAAATTTACCATGTGTTCCTGGATATAAGGGTAGTACAGGTTGGGCCTAGGTTGACGGTGAAAAAGCATAGCATCAAAAGGTCTACACATCAAACTGCTGTTCGTCATACCGCTACACACCTTCGTGTTGTTTTTATAACATAAGGGGAATTGTGAGGGTAGGTGATTTGACTGCAAAACTTTAGGAGTCTTGGAGCCTGACTTTCTAAAACATGGAGCATGCGGAAAACCTCCAGATATACTGTCAGTCAAGTCTCGTAAACCGTCAATGCCCAGCTCTTGCTACGCTGGGAATCACGCTGTTCC